AATAAAATTTGCCCTTAAAAAAGGTCTATACAACAAATTATCAAAATAGACGGCTCTTTATCAGATTTTGCTTTATAGGCGAATAAAGTTGCTAATAGGATTTTATATGCTTTAAAGTTTCCGAACTGATTATGTTTTAATTAACTACTAAATTACCTTCTTCGTATATTTATTTTTTTAACCATTAAAAGTTAAAAAAGTGCTTAATGCTACTCATGCGTAATTTGTTACTTCCATCGTTAAATACAGGGTAATAAGTTTGGCTGAAGAACTTTTAGAGTGGCTAATACCATTTTAAAAGGAATGCCTGTTATGTAGATATGAGTAATATACCTTTTATAAAATACTTTATGGGTGCTTTATTTATAAAATCTAACCTGGCCATAAAAATTTTGACAAATGGTGGCTTTAAGTGGCTTTAATTCTCAACCGTTATTCTCTATTTAAAGGAAGCAATGAAATAAATTTAAAGTTTTATCCTCGTATAGTTTTCAATAGACCGATCTTGTGAATGGATCAATAGAGCAACTCGACAAACCATTGAAATTCGTGTTTGTCATTGATTTTTATTACAGTCGTCCTAAGATTCGTATCATTCAAGGGACAGTTTGCAAAATCACTACTGCCAAAAGCATATTTTATTATCTTAATTAAAGTTCCTTGAAACGTGTGTGCTTGCCTTAGGCGGGCATTAATTCTGAATCCGCCATATAAACCAGTCGTTATAAAATTCGATTCAATAAGCAAGATGTGGCTCAGTTTTATAACTCCATACCTTATTCATACCAAAGTTATATCGCACTTGACGAAATTGTAAAATATATTTATAGCCGGTTTTATGTATTATGTAATGCCTAGACTTGGTTCAAAAGCGAAAATTGCTCACCAAATATTCGTCCGCTTCTAAACACTTTTCTTATTTATTCGCTTCATTGTTCATTTTAAATTCAGGTGCTTTAAGTGGTCGAGTATAAAATGTGCTATTTGATTCGCAACGCGCTCTACGGATGGATCGTAATTCAAGTCAGTAAATCTTCGGCGGATGACTAGATCAAAGGCATTAGGTATTTAGGTTTCACTTCGAGGACTTTATTCTCAACTATTGGTTTCTAAACAAACAGCTACAAAATGTTTAATAGGGTTGCTGCAGCTGCAAAACTCAAACTGTTATCTTTTAAATTTGAACTTTACGAGAGTAAATTTTATTTAGTTCATAAAAATGTTTTGTGATTTTTTTATTTTTCTAAATTTACTTATTTTTTTACAGTTATCTAATTTTTGGAAATCCTTTACAAAATTTAAAAATATCTAAAACAATAAATATGTACGTCAATTTAGAATTTTGCACTTTTTACTTAACATTAGTTAGATTCATTCTAATGTAGATTGTTATAATAGGATAATAAAATCTATTCATTTTCTTGCTTGTTATGGGTTACGACTTTTCAACAAATGGATCAAGTTAAAGAAACCGCCAATTGTTATGTTCCACTTGGTGTTAGGGAGCCGCTTTTCATTTTGTTAAGGATCATAAAAGTATTATGAATACATTATAACAGTTTATTACCTAATTATGTCAGTCTACGAGTTTCTTTTGATGTGTGATTCTAGTTACTAAATTTTGGACGTAGTAAAAAGAATCCTTTCAAATGCTAATGAAACCGTTATACTTTGTTAATATTTTTTTAAAATTGTTGGTAACAAAGATTCAATTTTATTGTTTTCACAAATTATATGTTTTTAAGTAACAAGAATATTGAAAGTATGGGTGGTCAAACGGAAACCTGCAATTTGCAGGACCAAAAGTCCTGCAGTAATCAAGCTCCATTTCGAAGAGTGGAAAGCATTTTACTAAACTGCAGACCTACTTTATGGTTCTCAACTCATAACTTTAACTAACAGTCATTTTACGATTGACTTTTTTGGCATAGGTTTTTATGTACGTTGTGCGGGGCAGTTAAAATTTTTCACCTTTGTTTTGTTTTGGGATACTTTTATTGTCGGTTCTTTTACAGACTAAGTCTAACCCATATAAACTTTGTAATATATGTGTTTCCTGACTTTTATGTGCTCTTTTCAAAGGTCTTTGCTTTTTTCGGTCTTGTTTTTCATCCTCGGTGTTCTAGACTGAAGGAGGTATTTGGATTAACAGTTTTATGAGACGACGTTCCGAAGCTTTCTTCTTCGATATTTCGCCAAAATTAAAGTCTTAAAATTAATTATCCACTTGCCAGTCATTACTTTAATTATTACGAGTACCTCATTGTTTTATTTTATTTTGTTAAATATGTACTTGGTGCACCTTCCGTAAAAGGTTTTACGACAGTTAAATTGGACGTGAAGTCTTATTAGAGTGTGTATTTAAATTTTTACTAACACATAATGCATTTTAAATTAATTTGTAACAAAATTATGAAAACTTTCAACAGTGACATTCATGGCTTTAAAAATGTCATATAAATGTTAACATTGACATGAGTCTTTCGACGGCTCATAATCATTTGGATTTGTATTTTATGGAGAATATAAAATGTACTTTTTAAGAGATTAACATCTTACAAGTAGATAAAACTACTGTGAATATTGATATGATTCAGTTCCACATCAGTTTTATTCTTGTTAACTTATATGTAAATTCAGTTTTATTTAAATAACAAATTGGTGCAATGGAATTAATTTATAATAAATGAGCGAGGCGACATGGTTGTAAATTGTGGGTTTTTGATATAATAAATTCGGAAATTACTGCAATTGTCGAGACCATTAAATTAAAAGAGAAAAAGTGAAAAACTTCTTAAGTTTCAACTTATTAGTAATTAATGACTTTTTTACATTTTTAAAACAGAAATCTATATTGTCTTGTGCAATTCTGTTACACTTCCACATGAAATATACCTACATTTTTACTCAACTGAAAATCGCTCTTGAAAAAATAACGCTACACGGATAAAGAGCTTTTGAGCCTTCTTATGTGTTGGATTTATTTAAAGAAATGACCATGTGAGGTCAAGCTTGGTAGTCCCACCGCAACGTTAACCGTTGTCTAGTAAATGAGACCTCTAGAATAATAGCTTGTAGAATTATTATTAGATAATAAATATATGCACATCTCATTCCACGAACACAGAATATGGAAGAAGCATGTATTCTATAGCGCTACGCGCCTCATGATTTACGGCACATCCAACATCAAAGCTTTTATGGCCCATGATTCGCGAGGTTTTAACACAACAAGTTTTAACTAGCATCAAAACGGCGTTCCACATCACAACAACCATCCGGGTGTTGTAGTACAAAACCATCCATGGGAACCGCTGTAACGTACGACAACGGCCATTTTCTTTTTAAAGCGCCATTTTCATTACATACCTTGAAACGTAGCTTGTGCGGAGAGAAGAGGATGGCAATTATTGCTTTACAGAAAATTAAGAAATTTACGTCAACGACTGGTTTGCACAACAATAAATTGTTGGAACTTGTACCTAATAAAATGGCTTTTCAGCAGCTGCAATTTGCATTCCGATAATAAAATTCTTACGTCTTTGACCTAAAATAAAGCTAACATTTTAGGATCAAAATTAAATTAATTAATTAGCATTTTGTAGTAAATACGTTGCCATTGATTTAATAAATATTTTAAAAGGGGAAATGGCCCAATACTTTCCATAAAATTTAGGTTTATTTTGTCTTTGAAATTTTTCATTTTTGCTTCATAATGGCTGGCTGGCATTACTTAATTTTTATGTTCTCGAAGTGCGTTTTAAAACCTCCGCATTGGGATGACTACACCTGTTCTTTCAATTAGTGCAATATCTGTCTTGATAAAACGACCTAGAGATTACTGCATTCTGACATTTTGTGGGTGACAAAATTATAATTACACTTTAGATGGACTTTATAGCTTTTCCAGTGTGAATAATAACGTGAACCATAAATTTGTTCGGCTCGACTGGCGAAATTCGTTTTATTTCTCCTAACATCTCCAACTTTGAGATCCATAAAATCCGTTCCACTGTCCGTCTGGACCTTGCACAAGATTATTATAATAAGTAGTTGCATGTATAGTAATACGTTTGAATAATTTACGACAGTTTTTCATTGTCGGCTCACAAATCATATGAGAAATTCTTAAAAATCATAAAACTTTGTCTGAAAATAATTGCTAAGCAGAAACATGCACGTCGTTAAATTTTAAGTGGGACAGCCACAGACATGCGAATTCTATTTCGAACGTTACAAATTTTAGTGCCTTCAAGCGCCTGACGGATTTTATTTTCAAGGCAATATTGCAGATTAAAATTTTGTCAACACATTTAACTTCCTTGAAAATAATAAAAAAAACCTAAAATGTCATCAGATATGATATTTTTGGGTTAAGTTGTGAGGGTAATGTTCAAATTTATGTCTCCTCCATTTTTTTCTTAACCTCTGAATTATAATTTAGTTAATTGAGGCTTAAATCTCAATAAATTATCTGTAATAATTGGAGGATTGATATATTGATGGAATAAACGTCAAAGCTTGAAACGAAATATTGTAAAATGCCGGCTAAATTAAGCGCGGGTCCGGCTCTGTGAAGTCCAGCGGTTTTTTTTGCGCCCCGCGTCAGAAAAAAAAACAATACATTCTGAGCACGTTTTCAGTTAACAATAGCCATTAAAAAGCCGTAAATAAAACTGATATAAACGAAATTATGCATAAATGACAAAATGTAGCCGCCATTTTGCAATAAAAATGAAACAGTTACAGGTATACCAACATATTATTTATTCTGCTATAGTTTATGGCTCGTAAACATTTTTAGTTTGTGGGCAATTATACAAATTAACTATGGCCAGTGCGGTGATAATAAAAGTTTAATGGGTTTTTATTAATTAGTAGTTTGCTGAGTATAATATGTTCTCAAGGTGACGGAAATTCGTTGTTTTAGCAATTTTTTTAAATTTTATTGTACACCAAACGACATTTTAATGAAGTTGATTTTTATGTCATTGTTTCAGACGTTGCGGGACATCGTTAAACACAAAGGGGACTGTTTTGTGATTGTAAATGCAAATTGTATTACACTGAATGTAGTAAGTATGTTACTCTTCCAAATCAATCCGTCTCCAAAAGTGTAATAATCGTCCTAGCCGTTACAATAATTTTCTGTAATAATCATAGCAATAAATTTCTTGAGTTCCAACAGTTGGAATAAAAAAATTTCACAATGTTTCAATATGCTGCTTAACGAAAGACGTCCCAAAATTGTAATTTTCAGTCTTTCTGTGTGTTCTGTTAAATACAATAATATTTAATGTAAATAGAATTTAAAGTTATTTTTTGTACAAAGAGTGTCTGAAAAGATGTTTTGTTTGAGTGTTTTTACATGTTAAGGTTTGTGGCCAGAACTAAAGGCCTTGTGATATTAAATGACTTAATATTACACTATAGTGTTACTTAACTTCCAAGAACTTGACCGAATTATTAATGTTAGTTCATAGAATGTTATAAGAGTTTACAAAACTTTACTTCCTCAACGATCAACTTTAACTAGAATGTGGTATAAGATAAAAAATCACTAAATTTTTATGGCTTTATCGCATTTAGGCACTTCTTAAATGGTTTTGCGGTTTTGTGGTACGGCAGTGATCCCTATCTAAATAGCAGGTCATTTACGACATGTATTAATCAATACTTATAAAATGTATGGTATAAATTTTAAGTACATTATAGCTTTAAGCATTATACCGTCTTCTAAATGTATAGTTCAATATAGTTATGTTTACTATTGTGCTGTTTTATTTTCTCATAAAATAACAAATTTCAGGTAAAAATAAAAAATTGTAAAGTATTTACAACTGAAGTTTTAATTCATACTTTCCACACTTTTCCATCCTGTCACATAACTCACTCTGGAAATATACACTGACCGACATAATTATCGCACCACTCAAATTTTAAGATTTAAAATGGCTAAGGTCCATTTTCATAATCGAATTTAAAGGAGCTTTAAATTAAATGTTGTTGAGAATGTGCTGATTACTACAGACATGTTGACCAAAATTTTATATTCTAAACCAACATTAACTTTAAAGTTCCTTTAATTTGATTATGAAACTGGCTCTAAATGGTTCTGAAATAGTACTAAAATTGATGAATAGGATAGTAGCATTATCAAGTAACTCAGTCGACTATGGATTTTTCAAAAACAATTGGTGTAGATTCATTGTTTACTGAATAAATGTTAAATCATCAAAATCACCGCTAATTTTCGAGAGACAACAATTAAAAACAGCTTCTTTCCAGGCTAGAGGAGGCAATACTAGGTATTAAAGGTTGCCTCCGAATGTAACAAAAGCTTATCTAAACTAAAAAACTGATCCGCACGGAATTCGCTTTTTTGTTTCTTTTGACATTCATTAAATTAAAAAAACCTAATTGTTGAAGTTTAAGTCGTAATTTTAGTTTAGCTTAACGTTAATTAGTTAATTAATTAATTTTTGATGCATTTATTTTTTAAGCATTATTTCAATAAAAAAATTCAATTCAAAATTGATGTGACAATTTTGCCGGCGAGTGTACATTTTTACATTTACTTCAAATATACCTGCCAACAGGTAAGTTACTTTCGTAAATATCAGAAAAAGGTAAGTAGTTATCATTTATTGCATCATGTTTGGTCCGTTTGGTGTTAATTTGCTTGAAGATAAATGGTTGAAATGTTAACAAACGTACGTTAAAGTCAAAGATAATAAGCTAATAGGTGATAAGCCTCTCGCATGAATGAAGTTTAATAATAAATTGTATCCACTACTTTGACTTTTAGGTTACTTACCTACTATAAAAATGTGACGTTTTATCAAGAATACAATTTTTCTCAAAAAAAAATTTTTGAGTTCTGCAAAATTTTTCATTTTCTTTAAATGGCAAATCACGATTAAGCTTTTTTTGAGAAAGAGCTGAGGATGACAACTATCTACATTTTATTCAATTTTTAATTCAAAAACAATTATATACGGATTTTTACACAAATCTAGTTACCATTTTCCCAAAAAAAGTATATCGCAAAAGTTAGAAATAAAGCAACATTTCATTCTTTAAACGCGATCATAAGTTTTATTGCATTTTCATTTTTATTAATTATTATTTTCTGAAGGCAAATGACAACAACAAAAACCGTATCACCGGCCATAGACTATCGTGTTTTTTTTTGTTTTCCTAACCTTGTTTCAGAATTTTGATTAACGTTTGTCATGTTGACAGAATGCTCCATGCTTCTTGCTACTTTTTACCTTTGTCCTTTGAAATAGTATTTGTTATGCCCAAAAGTGTAAAGACATGTCTTTGAGACATACCTTCTTAGATAATTTTTATTTTACTAAATGTATCTCCTTATTGCAGGCATTTTCGAATTTGATTAAATTTGACAATACGTATTTGAATGTCAGTTATCATGACAACAGCTACAGTGATTTTTTGTGAACAAAAATTGTGTGGACGAAATTCACTGTCCATCACTGTACGTAGCACCTCAAACAACTCCTTCGGTCGTTGCGACCTTAACAACCTTGAATACGTAAATAACTATTTTTTATTATATTTCAAATGCTTTTGAACTATAATAGGCGCCAGAACATGCACCTTAGCGAAAAATACCTTGTAAGGTAAAATACCAGGAACATGGAAAAATGTTTAAATCTATAAAAATTTCGAAGTTATAAGAGTTTAAACTTTGCACTTTGACTCTATTTATTTCTGTTGAAAAAATAATTTTCCAAGTTTTTTTGCTAGAGGCTATTAGAAGAGGAAACAAGGAAGCAGTATCCTAAATTATAACTTTGTTTAGGAAGGTTATTTGTGGATTTTATTAGCAAATTTTTTGTACAATGGCGAGCATAAAATTTTGGTGGGTAATGTCATTTTCAAACTTCATCTTTTGGTCAAAAAAAGTAGTTTCCCTGTCTAATTTTGACAGATAAGAGAATGACATTGTCTACTAAAATTTAATGCTCGCCATTGTACCTTTCCTAAATAATTATAAACATCATCAGTATCATTAAATAGACATAAAAAAATGTCAAAGTCAAAAAATAAATGTAGAAATTTTTTGACAGATTTTTTCAACATTTTTTCTATGTTCCTGATATCTTACCTTACTTAAAAATTTTCTCTGAGGCTCGAGTTCTGACACACCCTGTATTGTTGTGACTTTAAGCTAAAAGGGCAAATGCTACTATGCAACATGTACTAATTTTTAATTTTAAATACATACAGGGTGATTTACGAGGAATAATGAACCTGACCAAATTCTCGACCGAATTATCGCAAAGCAACTTGAGAAAAGTAATGGTTGTATAACATCAATTTTCGTATCAAAGATACCTATTATACAGGGACATTTTTTTCTTGGTATACATAGCCCTATGTAAAAGGTGATTTTTAAGTAGACTGACAAAATTTTATCAGAGCTTCCCAAGGATAAATGGAGACAATCTGTACCCTTTTTATGTTTATATCTTTTAGAGGCAGAACCCCCTTGATCCGTGCCACTTACGGCATTTATGAATTGTTGCAATGATCATGTACATTTTCATCAAATTAATGTCATGGCGTACGCTTTACCTCTAAAATAACTTGAATAAATTGTATTTGGAGAACGGTTAAACAAAGAATTTTTTTAATATTTCTCCCAGCATGTTCTCATTTAATACTACCAAGGATAAAATTTGTCGGTCTATTTAAGAATCACTTGTATACTGTTAAAAAACCGGGTCAATTTCATAGGTTAGGCGACCAACATTTCAAGCTTTTAGAGGGTACTAGATGTTAAAATATTCAATACTAAAATTTTGTATCAAGTATCAGTCTTGAAACTTAAAGCGCAGCCTTAAAAAGTTAATACCATTTATGATACACACATGTACACCTAAGTGAATCGGGAGATATAGTCCCATCGCATAGCCCCCACGATTGCCAGACTTGGCACCTAACGATTTTTTTCTTTGGGGGTATAAATAAAAATTTATACTAATGTTCCAATGCAAAATTTTAGAAGAGCTGAAAGAACGTATTCGTACAGAATGTAATAAGGTAGATCTTGAATTTATCAGGAATGCAGTGGCGGGGTTTTCAAAATCGCTTGGGTTATTGTTTGGAACTGCAAGGAAAGCATTTTGAACACTTGCTTTAATTATTAGATATTTTTCATGTTTTGATGGGTTTTAATTTTTTTTTTAATTAATATTTAATTACATATTTTTTGTTGTTTTTAAAAGTTTGTCTTTTATTTATCGCTATTTAAGCCTTTCTAATATTGGTTGCCTATGACTAGACTAACGGCTAATCGTAATTGCCATAGTAACATTGAAGTTGACTCGTTTTTTTTTTAAGTATACATAAGGTTATGTATACTAATAAAAAATGTCCCTGTATGTACATATGTACTATACGCTTATGTACATCTGAACTACAGTTTCTAAGTAAAAACTTGGACTTCATCTAAGATTAATTGGAAATAATTTTTTGTAAACATTTAATTGAATTGCCATTTTCTCACATGAGTAAATTTTGACATTGACTCTTTAGCATTAAGCCACAATTTTAATGGTCAGTTTTTTTAATTCTTTTTTGAAAGGAATAAGTTTTGTATAGCTGCAAGACCTTTGTGACTAGTTTCTTGAAATTGAAGTTGAAGGCGGGGATTATATGGATGAAATCGCTAGGTAAGAAGGTTCAAATAGTTTTATATGAAATCCATAAAAGCTGCTACTTTAAATTAAAACAAGTAAAGATACTTACCTTGATGCCCGAGATATGCTATCAACTCACAGACCTACCTACATTTAAAGGTTTTACGACTGAAAATTTATTGCCTATAAACCAATTTTATTGGCTAAGTTTTATTATTTAAGTTCTTGTATTTTCATGTCAGCAATTGAAAGCACTGTTTTTCTTATTATGTAATAAAATATTTTCTTTTTAGCCGCATAAAAATATTACTTCATACTGATCAAGTTATAAATGATAAATTCAGCCATTATGTTTTTAGTATCCAACTTTGGATAGTGTAAAAATGAAAACTTAGGAATTTTTAACGAGACTCTTCATTAATTTTAATTTATTGATTAGGAACTGAATGAAGTTCAGGATAAATGTAATAAAAATAATAAAACTTAAAAATTTCTGAAATTATGTTAAAATAATTCTTCACCAAAGTAAATATAAATAAAAAATTTCTTAATTTCATTGATTCTCCATTAAAACATCTTGTACGATATACTGAAATTAAGACGGTGGTAGTATTTTTATAAGATAAAAAAATAAGTTACTCTAATATATACGGCACCACGACAGATATTAACTAATTGCGAGGGTATAATATTAAATTATAATTACATGCATTATTTATATCACACAGTAGTCTTGTCTCTGGTAAGGAGCAGTTTCTTACGTAGGCAGTCCTCATTAGTACTCAAGGAAGCATTCTACATATATTAAAGGTAATCTGCTTGTACAGATTGTAAAAGATTAAATTTTTATTTCGCTTCCTGCAAATCAGCTCCTAAAGAAATCTTGAAACTACGTCAAGTTTGCAGTCCGATAATTTACGACCCTGCCTGCTTGCGATTAAAAGGTTCGGCATCCAGCAGGGGCTGGTTTATTGAGGCGTCATTTTTATTTTGTTCGAGTGTACATGTATCGTATTTTCAATATTTCATTTTATAAAACGAATTTTTGTTAACTATTTTTATAGTTATTTATTGTAAGAGAGTGTTAGATAGCGTTTTA